GCCCGTGGCTCTGCAGGTGGCAGGAGGAGACATGACGCGGCTTCTCAGGAAGACCATGACAAACCGTACGTCTGTGACAGTAAGTACAGTAGACGTTCCCCTCCACCCCCCACCCTGGCCTGGCCCGCCCTCCGCTGTCCTGCTCAGCCTCACCCACGGCGTCCTTTTGGGCCTGCATCTACTTGCATGATTCCTCGTGCTGCTGCCGCTGCCGCCACTGCCATCCCTCCATTTCTGCATGAGAGGGGGAAGCAAGTGGGGAGCCCCCCACCCTGGGTACCCTGCTTCTCTCTCTGGCGGTGCCCGGCGCCTCTCTGTGGCTTTCCTCCATCGCTCCTCCACTCTGTCTCCTTAAGATTCATCCTCAATTTCTTTCTCTATTTCAGACAGTTACAAACAAAAGCATAACTCAAAATCCTCCAACAAAGGTACTTGGCTTCTGTGACTTTTCATTTGTTTCCCTTTCATGTCCTCCCTCTTTCCTGTCCTGCGGAGGGCACGTTATGGATCTTTCTCTGCCGTGGACTCTGTGTACTTGAATGGCCCTCGATCCGTCTCTAGTCTTTCTGCAGCCTTCAGAAACGTCTTTTTGGATGGGTGACTGCTGGTGCTGTGGACTTTGGGGTCTGCAGATGGGGCAGGGGAGGAGCAGGAAGCAAGGCCCCCAGAAGCCTTTGGCACGTGTACAGAGTCTTTCTCATCCAGCAGAGCCCTGGTGCCAGGGTCAGCAAATTTGAGGAGAATGGAGGTTGGGGGTGGGGGGGTGGGGGGGTGGGGATGACGGGGAACAGGGTGGTCATTTGGTGATACCTTTGTCCCCATTCTTTGCTAGCCTCTTCTGATTTCAAGAAATCGCTTTGAGCCTCCTGGGGGTGATGGCCAGTTGGAGACCACTTTGCTGGCAGAACCTCAGCTCTGCGCCCCCTATCTGGATGCCATGCACAGATACCTCTTCCAGACTGAGGAGAGAGCAGGGCATGGGGTTGTAGACCTACCCCATGAGCTCTTGTTTCTAGAAGAAGTTTCCATCAGGTTCTGCTGCCTCCAAACCTAGCATGCCAGAGCCCAGGGATAATGGTGCTGGGGAGCATCCTTCAGACCAGCACTGAGCAGCCCAGTTATCAAAGATGCCCCCGGCTGCCTCAGGGACCCCAGTGCCTGCTTCCTCCTTTAAACACTTTGTTCTCTGCTAGGTGTCCTGCACTTGGCTGTCTCTCCCGTTTTCATTGGCTTCTCGGCTAGTACCCAGACACACATTTCCTGTGAAGGGGCCCTTCTTCTTCCGCACGTCCCTCTCACTTCCTGCCTTCACTCCCTTGTCTCCCACCCTTGTCTCTTGATGCATTATCTCCACCACTGGTCCTGGTGTGTGTGTGTGGGGGGATCCCCTCCCTCTTGCCTGCACCCCTCTTTCTGTGCCAAGGCCTTGCCTCCCACCCTCTCCCCCACACTCCTGCGGCTTTGTTTAGAGACTCTCCATGCCCTTTGTTCTTTCCTGTTTCCCTCCCCACAGGGTCGCTTCCTCCTCCTGTTTACCTTGTGCTACTTGGGACGCCCCATGGCAGGCCTGGTGTGGGCTGGCCCGAGGCTTGGCCTCTGGATTCTTGGCTCCATGGCCCCAGCTTCGCTCAGACTCCCTCTTCCTCCCTTGGCGGGGCAAGGTCTTCTGGAGATCACCCTTCTCTCTTCTGGCTCTCTTCGGAAATTGTGTGGCAGCTCCGTGATTAATAGGCTTTATTTTTATCTGGTGCCCTTCAGACATGTGATCCTTTGGGATAGAAGTGACCTTTAGCAAGGTCATGAGGCCCACCCCCCATTCCCGAGTGGAGCAAGGAATGCTTTTAATAATCTTGAATGTGCCTGGAGTGGAGAGGTGTCTGGTCACCTCTTTGAATGTCCCTGGGGATAGTGTTACCAGGAGCTGCCCTTTCTTCCATGGTCCCAAGTGTGCAATGAATGACTGTGATTTTCTTAATGGAAATTGAGGTTTCTCTATCCTCAAAGGCCCCCTTTGAGTTTGTGCTTCTTTTCCCAACAAGTGGGTATCATTCATTCTGTCTCCATTGGAGTCTCTCTGAGTCTCCCCTTGAATTCGGGGTTTATCCAGCCCACATCCCCTGACCTCTGTAATGCCTGTTTTAAATTCCCTTCCCCGGTTGCATTTAAACTCAGTGTTCCCTTTGGAAGTAGCACCAAGGTCAAGTGACTCAGAGGGTGACAGACACATTGCCGTGTTTACTTTACAGATGGGCTTTTAGCACAGCCCTGGTCTGCTGAGAAGACTTGGGCCACCCCCACATACCACTTCCCTTCCTTCCCACCCAGTGTCTTTCCAGAGCCCCATGTCAATGCTGCTCCAAGTTTGGGTTCTTTTCTGCTTCTCCATTTGATTCTTCCTCCTTTCACAGTCCACTGTGTTTGGCCCCTATTGGATCTCAATAAAGAAATACAAGAGTATGTGACTGCAGTATACCAAATTCAATCAAGGCAGCTGTTCAGTTTCCTTCTCCAGAGTTGTCCCTGCCATTTTTGTATTTACTACGGTTTGAGCTGCATGAACCTCATACCATCTTTCCAGTTGTCTGTGGAAATGTTAGGCCATCTCGAGCACCCCTACCTCCTCTCTACAGAGTTAAGTGGATAACTCGCACCCATTTTTCAGACGTGATGTATTTAACCCTTCCAATGTATGTTCCTAAATACGGTTATCCTCACATGTTCTCAGCCTCAGCGTTCCTTTCAAGATGGGTGGTTGAAATATTATCTAGTTACTAACATCAGGTGATAGATCGTTTTTCTGCTGCCTTTCACTCAGCCATTGAATTTATTCCATCTCAGAGAAATATTAAATCATCTGGACATAATTTATTTTCCACCAAATCCATGCAAGTATGTGGAGGAATACTTCATTTCCCAGCAAGTAACCCATCTCTATTAATTATCCTGAAAGTTGACCGAATTTAGGATTGAAGTTCTTTTCCTTCTCTTGCAATCTCTTGCTGAAAGAGGTACTCATTGCCCACTGCATGTGATTTTGTGGAAAAGCCTGTCAGGGTTGGTCAAAGTGTGGAACTGGGTCACCCGCATAAAGACAACCCAGTAGCTGTTATTTAAATGCAGATTTCCAGGCTTCTTGCATCTGAATCACTGGAGGACAGGCCCAGGAACCTGTGTTTTGAAAAGCTCCTTAGGGGATAGCAGGAACACTGCCTTTTGAGCATGACTAGTCTACTTCATTCAGATGCAAAGGCCTCTGGCCTCTGACTTCTCAGCCCTTTTATTGTTCACTCTTTTACTTGAATCTGGAAACTCCAGTCTCCAGGAATCCTGTGGACTGTCACTGGTCTATATCTCTGTTTTATGTGATTTCTTTAGAATCTTTTCAATTTTTGACGTAAATCTCAGCAGTCTAATATTGAACTCAGCAATCCTGCACTTGACTTTAATTTACTTAATAGCATCAAATCCTAATAGTATCATCAGTCCCATTTTATAGGTGGGATGAAAAGTGAGGCTAGACAAATGGAAGAAATCCTTAGGTTTGGGCCACTGGGAGTTTAAACAATCCTCATCAAGATATCGCCTCTTCTCATCCTAACTGCTGCCAACCGGGGAATTTCTTTGTGTGTTATTGGGGTAGACTCCTGATGGGAAACACACCTTTCTATTCTCTATGTCCAAAGAGCATTGCAGCAAAGAAGGTGGTGGTGGTGCGGGGGTGATCACTAGGAGAAGGAGAGCCTTCTGTATCTAGGCATTAGCCAGCTGGGAGGCTAAAAAAGTGCTCTTTTCCCCCTTTTGCTGGGTCTAAGTAATAGTTTGTGTAGGTTTTTTCTCATTTTTTCTTTTAAAAATTGTTGAAATTAATTTAATTCTCTTGGTTTTGGGTTTTAGGTCATAGTCAACAATGCTCAGGAATTACTTGTCTATCTGCACTCAGGAATCACTTCTGACATTGCTCAAGAGACCCTATGGGGTACTGGGGATCAAATCTGGATTGACCCTGTGCAAGACAAATGCTCGAGCCACTGTACTATTGCTCCAGGCCTAAAAAATAATTTAAATGAATGATTAGTGGAAAGAAGACTTCACATACAGCCCTCCCTCAAGAGTGTTTAAAATCTCCAGTCCATATTGTTGTCGAGGGGTACAGTGTTGTAAGCAGCGCTCTGGTGCTGGTTTGTCATGCTTGATGGAAGCTTTCTGCCGGTTGGTTAGCAATTTCCTATCTCTCTCTCTCCCAGTCCTTGGCAACACCATTCCACTCTTGGATGCTATCCATTCGACCATCATAGAGACCTCATCTAGGGGAAATCATGCAGTATTTGCCTTTCTGTCATGGGGATCATTCCACTTAGCATAATGGCCTCAGGGTTCATCCGTGTGGCTGTACATCAAGGAATGGAGGAATGGGATTCCACTGTATGTATATATCCTGTTCTTTTACCTTTCATCTCTAGCTGGATCTTTAGGTTATTCGCTCTCCGTAGCTGTGGAGAATAGTGCATCAATAAACATAGGGGTGCATATATCTCATTGAAACCCTGATTGCAATTCTTTTGGATAAATACTCAAGATTCACTGGGATTACTGAATTATTATGGTTATTCTAGTTTGTCTTGTTTAAGGAACCAGCAGGCTGTTTTCAGTGCTGCTACCTTTTTTTGTATTCCCACTCCCAGTGTCTGAGGGGTCCCAGACTCACACATCCTCACTTTCATCTGTCTTTGGTTCCTACATCTTTCTAACCACGGGGCCAACTCCTACTTGCGCCATTCACACTTCTCAGAGTGTAGTGCTAAGCATTTCTCATCTGCTGTTTCTGCACATCTCGGCACTTAACTTGGAGAGCAGGAACAGCTGACCCTGGTCAGAAAGAAACTGAGGCTCAAGAGGTGAAGGGACTTACCTGTCCAAGGTTCAAACGTAGCTGGTTAATGCCAAAGCTGGGATAGGATCCTGGTTTCTTCAACCCAGAGCTGACCCAGCCCAGGACATCACCATGCAAATTGTAGGTTTAAACATGCCTCCTATTCTAGGGCTTGCTTTTTTGAGAGTCGAAGGGAGGAAAAAAGAAACTGTTCTTTAAAAAGGAATAAATGAGGAGCCAGGGAGTAGCTCAAAGGGCTGGAGTACATACCTGGCATGAGTAACATTGTGTGCTTGATCCTGGGCACCCATATGCCACCCCCCAGCATTACCAAGTGTGTCTCTGATGGCCCCCCAGCTCATAAGGGCCTGGCTGGCACATCTGAGGGCCTGAGTACTGAACCATCTAATGGTTCAATACTTGGTTGACCAAGTATTTCCAGGAGTGGCCCCCATACCCCACTGAGCACTGCTTGGGAGCCCTTCCCAGGAATAAATAAATGGGTGTGTGCCCCCTTTTATGCAAGCTGAAGGTCTGCCCCCTTTGGACAGAGTGGCT